TCATTACGTCTGTGTCAGTCAATATTATGCACAAATATGGAAAAAGATAAATAAAAAACAAATCAGTGTTGGCAAAAAGCCAGCGATATAGAGAAGGGTACCATAAAAATACCATTATCACGATTTTAAGCGTAGGCAATAGAAATACGCTCTATGCTGGAGGTCTTTGGAAAGAGTATCTAATTTAGACAATTGTATCTAGAATAATTGGAATATCGAGTCTAAGCTATAAGGAACAGTATATAAACGAGACAAAATTCGGGTTGCATAAAAATACAACAGGTTACATTCGTTTTGAAAAATAGACATTTGCCCGGTCGAGCAGATATAGGAATCAATCACGAGAATGAAACTTATGGCTTTCTTGAAGAATGTCTCTCTCGGGGAACCATTACAGCGGAGATTCAGCTAGACTGAAATTTCTGGGCTAAGGTGATTTCAGGCCAAATAGTCAAGTTTCTCATAATGCAATGACTGGACCTCTGGATGTAATTAAATTTCACATACGATCAGTAGATCTTGAATAAAAATGATATTCATCCTAGGTCACATAAGGAAATGCAGAATCATTTTCCGATAATGATTAGACTAGGCCTCATGATGACATTGAATTTCACTTATTATTGTATTATTCGCGCTGGACTGAAGTTTAGATATGGGTCTCATCAATACCCTAATAGAAATCGAACGTGGGTAGTGTTGCGTCTGTTTTCGACGTATTACCATTACGACAGCCACAAATTTCATTGAGGCACGGGACAAATGCTACTTACAAGAAAAGCCAGGACTCTACTATCTAGCATTTATTGGGATTGTTGGTTGTATCTGCTACTAAAGTCGACTACATTACTTAACTTTATAAGTTTAGATTTCGATACTACCAGTACAAATTTAATTTAAAAAATGAATTCATTTCAGGTCGCATAAAATGTTTAAGGATGGATAATTGCTTTTTTCTGCAGTGATATGAGTAAGCATTACGGTGACATTGAATCTCACTGATTATTGTTCCTTAAAACGTATCCTCATCCAGAATAGACTGAGTTTTATACCTCACTTGGTGGCATCAAAACCTAATCAATTTGTTTGAATATAAGTAATATAGTCGATTGTAATAGCAAATAAAAGTTTGATCCACCTATAAATGCGATATAGGAGAGGCCTGGCTTTTCTTTAAAGTCGCGTCTCCTCTGTGACTCCCTGACGTCCTTGGATATATATGGCGTAGTGGCAACATGTCGAAAATAAATCCACATTCAATTTCTGTAGTGGGCGATGATGAGACAAGGGTAGAATCGAAATTGCACTCCGCTCAGAATGATACTATCCTTTGGGAAGCAGAGCTAAGTGAAAGTTAATGGCTTCATTATGGCAAATTATATCGTAACGGGAAAACTCAACTATCAATCCTTTAATGCTTTATGTTGCCTAGGTTGAATTAAGTTCTTAATCATCCCAAATACCTAGGGCAGATTGTTCTGCTTCGGGTAATGCATTCGTCGATAACAAGCACGATAATGAGGGAGGACAATAACCAAAAAATAGCTGCAATATCAGCAAAGAAACGGAAATACAAATGCAGGCGGACCTAGGCTTCCGAGGTCGGCCAGCGAATTCATTCGTTGATCCTCTTCAAGTAAAATTAGTTGCCTTCAATTAAAAATCATAAATGAGCACAAATTAGTAAGAAGCCTGGTGAAGAGAGGTGCATTATAGTCAAGTAATAGTATGAAGGGTAGTAGACTTAGGATAGGATATAATCAAGCAAGTAAATTGGATACTTAATCGCAATTTCATATATACTCCTAAAAATCCCTTTAATATTCACTATAACCTAAAATTAGGATCCACGAGAAATGCATGGTTAAATGTTGCAATAGTTGAATGGTTGGACACTTACGACGGCCCGTCTCAGTGATCTGTCCTAGTGTCGGTAAACGGAAGTCTGTTGCCACTATATAGGATTGTGTCGAAGTCGATAAATGTGGCGGTTCAGGTAAGTGTCCCGCTTGACCGTTGGCTGCTTCAGACACTTCTCGCCATTTAAATTGCACATTTTCGTCTTGCCTTACAGAGCAGGCCTCCGAAATCTCCTCACTTGCCTCTGGTGCAGGGTCTGGATGCGAAAAAGTCGAAGATTCTAGTCGTCCATGTAGGAAGGAGGAAGGTGAATGGGAGGGCAAAGGCGAAGAGTAAATAGTGGAGAGCGAGTGTAGTTTATAATCCGACGGTCGGCATCTGAGAAACAGTCTCAAGCACACCAAATCTTCAGCCCGTAGACAGACTGTATCCAAGTGACCAAGAAGACGGGGGATATGCATACCAAATGGGAATGAAGCGGTCGCGGCCCGAGGCGAGGAGATCGGGTTTTGTGAGGCTTGGGAGGACGTTGCGACAGAAATAGGTGGATCGACAGGCTGCATCAATGCAGATGCTATTGCCGAACAATCGGCAGATTTAGTGGTGAGAGGCTAAGATTAAGAGAAGATGAAATCAGAAGCAATATCATTCGGTTTAATAGTAATTCGATCAATTTTGATTATATGGTTAGCCTTCGCAACAGGCGTGATAGCAAAGACGAAAATAAAGCCTTACACGGACAAGGAAACTGAAAAATAAGGTGTATGAATGGTGGGAATAAAAATAAAATGAAAACGGAAGAGTAACGTTGGTAACGAAGCTAGTATTGTTAATTTAATAAAAAGGAGCCAATGGAAGTAATAAGAGAGAGGAAATGATAGGAGTCACAATCAAGGCCCACCTCAGTTGTTAGCTCGAAATTCGTGTGGAGATAGTCGCTATTCTGCTTCTTATTGGTGAATTTGACCGATATGATCGGCACAGTGGTTAATAAAGAATCGTCATCTTTCTGTATCGTCGAGGCTGACTTGTCTGCTCGGCGCCATAGTTCAAGAAGTAGACTGCGCCAGACCAACATAATGGGGTAGATAGTATTGAATCGAGTTGATTTTGCCAGGATCAGATAGATGGATGCAAATATAGATTCGAGAAAAAACATTTTTGGAGTGCTTTGAGATTCTATGGAAAAAAATAAATGAAAATCTTACATTAAAGTGATAATAATAATGGCTAATAAGATAATATTAATTACCAATATGATGAGATTTAATAAATTTGAAGTCTTACACATCACACATTTATGAATTTAGGCTTAAAGTGAACATAGCCAAACGAGACCAGGATCAGGCAGCATGGATAGCAGGAAATATTTCTATGTAGCTAGTGAGCTAGATTTAAGTAAGGATTGTACGCAAATGTGGTTACATTATAGTCTAGTGCGTCTATTCTGCGATAACAATCTTTGAGTGAGAGATTAAGGAGGGACAGGCTCCATCAGAATATTGAACCTGGTCTTCATTGTTGGAATGGTAGTCCTAGACGCATGTTACATGAATTCAGACGAATTCTAGCTTATTTATCGTCTATCGAATGACAGAATACCATCCAGAGAAAGCTAGGCCAATCTTAAACCGGGCACTAGGCTAAGTGCTCAAGAAAGGAGATAAACTTAGTAAAAATCTACCTGAGTAGAAAAACTATGTGCAAAGAGATAGTAGGCTTTAAATGAAAATCAGGTGCACTTACAAG